GGGCGGGCGGAGGGCCGCCACGCCGCGGACGGACGGACGGACGGACGGACGGACGCACGCCCCGGCTGCGCAGAGGCAGGCACGACGCTTCGCAAACAGCTGCTGTGGCGGTGGCAGCGCGCTAAAGAGCGAGGCTCAGGCGGCCGCTGGGATGCAGGGGAAAGATGGGCCGCCCCGTCCTGCCCTGATCCAGCACTGGTGAGTGAGCGCAGCGCCCTGCGCCCGCCGGAGACTCTGCCCAACTCTGTCCCTCCGTGTTGCATGGCCATAGAGTGGTGTCTGCGCTGTGATGTCCTGTCAGCTGTTGTATATCCCGTGTTTCCACAACCATCGCCGCGTTTACCAATGACCCTTACACCAAGGAGTGCTGCGGCCCCTTCGGGGTCCTGGGCCTGCCTGTGTGGCAGAGCCGCGGCAATGCAGAGCGCAGCTGAGTCGGTGCATCCGCACGGCACGGCACAGGCACGGATTCCAGCTCGGAGCCCCAGTGCTGCATAGCTGCATTAGCACAACCAAGCACCTGAGCTCATCAGACCTATTTCTCAAGAGGACCCTTAGTCTGGGCTCGGAACCACGCCGGCATCGTTACCCCTCTCCCGGTGGGGACCCTCCTCCCTGCACGCCACCCCACGCTGCATACATGTTCACAAAATGTCATAGTAGTGCAGAGGGCTTTTGCAAGGCTTTGTTTCATGTGACTCACCGATACCGTTGGGTTTTGACCTATCTTTTTGCTGAGTTGCGACACAGGGACTTTTTCCACTTACTCCAAAATGTTGCCCCAAAGTGCTTCCGAGTAACACTAGGATCCTGCGGCTCCTGGCGTGGTGCTGTCATATGCTCCCTGGATAGCAACCAAAGCGGTGTCTATTTTAAGAAGAAAAGAGTGATTAAAGTGTTTGCCTAGGCAGGTATTTCAGTCTGCTTCGATTCCCCTGTGACTTGTGACAAGTCACATAGCCTCCCCCCCACCCCCTGTGCTTCACTTCCCTACCAGCAACATAAGGAAAGTAATATTTTCAGGGATAATAACGCTTTTCCTACCCCACAGGCATGTTGTGAGAATGAATGTGAAAAACGCTCGGAGGTGCACAGACATTACAGCAAGTATTAGACATAGGTTATAATGGAAGATGGAGAACTGAACACCACAGATGCGATTATCCTTCAAAACAGGAGAAATGGAGAACCCGCAGAAAATAAACATGCAAGGCAGTCTGCTGAAGTGGGGAAGGGATGCCACAGTACAAATAGCAAGGAGTGAACTTTGCACTGCTAAAAGTGTCTCTTCAGCATGTCCCATGTATGATTTTTTTTTTTTCAAACTTTTACGTCTGATGTCAGTGACCTAAAGAAACGATAAAGAAGTACCCCACGTTTGTATGGAAAAGCTGCCTTACGTATCAAGTGAACTGTTATTTTTGGCAATCAGCATACCATTTACAATTGGGAAAAATCTTTATCTCATCAATGTGACAAGGATATTTGGAATATTCAGTAAATTAAATCAATCAACCAAAGTTTACTGGGTTAACATATCATGATTTAAATTGCTATTAATAGCAGTATCAAGCAAGCGACATCATCATTAAAAAAAAATTAAGCACTTGAAGCCAATATTTCAACAGGTATCTAAGTTGATCCCAGTTTACTGCCATTAAAATTGGAGCTATGTGAAATTACACTCCTCTGAATCTAGGCATTAGAACATCTTATTTTTTCTTTTATTTTATATTTATTAGTCTAAATCACTATTAAACACACTCATAGAGAGGGAATTTGTCAGTTCTGACACCTATCTGTTATTGTTTACTGCAAATACCTTCAAACTGCAGAAAAGTTTTGTACAACTGCTGAACAAGATCTTAACACATCCCTTCTGGATGTTGGATCAGATCAAGAAATCTGATAATTGATGATGAGATATTTCAGCATGTACCAAGTGATGTGCTTAAGTTAGCAATAACAAATGAATGAGAAGTCCATCTGTGTAACTTTTGTTTCACGTGCAGAATTTCTCCAGACATTTGCATTTAGCTGCATGTCTAATGGTAGTCTGGCAGAAAAAGTAAAAGCTTCAAGGAATCCTATGCTTACTCTGCTCCAAACATTTTTTTCAATCGATAATAAATGGATACTGAAGGGCATAAGATTAAAACACTTGAGGATTTTTTTGTTTGGCTGGTTTTTGTAAGATGTATTTCACTAAGTTACTGCTAGATGTACAGGCTTCAGTATTTGTTCTTTGTTTTTCTAGGTAGCATACAGTGCTTTGCTGCAGTGATACGCATAGCTCTTCTTAAATCAGTGGGATATTCCCATGTTTATAGTTAAATTGTGTTTAAATGCTTCACTGCATCAAGATCATTAAAATGTGTTAGGGCCCAGAGGACTAAGAGTAAATGAGCTCAGATCTACTGAGAACTGGGTGCACGGTTACTGTATAACCTCGTGGTGCAGCTACGAGGGACGCCCTGCAGAGCGGTGGCATTGTTTAAAAAAAACAATTGGGAAACTACAAGTGTGAGGAACAGATTGCAGGACTGGACGTTCAGTGTCTGCGCAGGATTTTGAATGCAGAAGTCATCATAATGATACCCAGCTCTTATACCATGCTTTTTACTTATAAGCATGTAAGAAGTTAAACAAGGAGGTAGGTATCATCTCTGTCTTCTGTATAGGGAAACTGAGTCATTAGACATGGGAATAACTTGTCCAACGTCATCAGGTTCAGAGATTGAGCAAGGAATTAAAATCAGACCTTCTGAATTCCAGTCTAGTGTCATTGCTGCTCAGCAACCCAGCTTCTCTTAAAACTATTTTTTTTTCTAATTTGTAGTTTCTGAAGCACCGTGCTATAAATAGAACACACATACTGTGACAACGTTTGCTCTCTGCTTTTAGGCAGTGCTTTCATACGTTTTTAAAGCACAAACATGCTTTGCATTTTGAGATCTCAGAGGATAGTCCTATTGCTTCTTTACAATTGATATTTGACTATTTTGTTTCAATAACCCTATTTTTCTCTTTCTGTTTGTACAGCATATTGCACCGGATTTCATCAGCAATTGCAAAATTCTTTTCATACATCAGCCTTTAGTTTTCAGTGAGGATTTTAGGTTCTCAAGGAATTCAGGCTCAGGCCACGCTCATTCACGCCATCTTTATAGTTAAAAATGTTTATTTGTTTTATATAGGGTGGAATAGTTGGATTTGATCGAGGCTACCAGCTTTTTCATTAATTTAATTTCTGCCAGTGAACAAAGCTACTGAGCCAGGTACTGGTCTCACTTACAGTAAGATATCTAAAATATCTTTCTGAAGCTATTTAACAGAGCTATCCTGCTGCAACGTCTGTAACAGTCTGTCTGGCTATGTCTAAAAATTAAAAACAGAATCTATGTTCTTACCACAGAAGAATTTACTTACAACATAACGTGTGGTCATTTAGATTTGAAGACAAATTAATAAAAGACTCAGTTTTGCTAAACTATACTGATGTCTACCACATTTTATCTAGGTTTCTGACTGCCAATACTTTTACCTGAAAAACACTTTACCCCTAATAATCTGCTGTCATGAAATATTTTTTTTCATTCTCTAGCCAATACTTTCTTAAGCTTTATGATAATCCTGTAGATCGTACTTTTTTATTCATTGATGATGTCTGAGACCAGTAGACAGATTGGGGACAAGAAGTTCATTTGCCTCTGTCCTGCCAAACCAGTTCTGTGGGTCAACAGCAGATTTCAGTTTCAAGGCTGTCAACCTTGCCTTGTTCAGGAGTATCGTTTTCACTATAAAAAGCTTTTTAGCAGTTTTTAGTTTTCATTCTTTTGTTCTTTTGTATCGATTTTTATTTGCATTTATTCCATAAGCAATATTTGAACTCCAAGATCAGAGCTGTCAGCGTAATCTTGAACTTCACTTAAAGGTTCACTTAAAGCAGAAGCATTAAGTCATTTCAGTGCCAGATATAAACTATTAAATAATTCAATGTGTACTTTTTCAACAGACATAAATTATTGACCAGAAAATGGCCCAGCGAAGCCCAATCTTCCCAACTCTTGCCCCTTCTGAAAGGTACAGTTTGGAATGCAAACAATAAAATCTTCATATTGCAGAGTATTATGTGTCTCTCAGTTCCCTACATATAGTAATGCTGTGACTTGGGACTTTGGCATTAGTATGCAAAGCAAAGTGAAATACCGTAGACTCATTCAAATCATGGCCCAAATCACAATTCCTTACTCAGCTTTTACTTAACCCTTTCCCAAAGAAATGAAATAGCTTAAACTGTAACTGAGTAGAAGTCCAAGAATACTATCCTTTAGCCAGTCTTCTAATAGCATGGAATAAGTGTGAAAACTCAGAGCCAGAAGCAACCTTGGTTGGAGTCCTCATACATCTCTATCAATATCATCATGGTGAAAGTAAACTGTTAATTTGGCTCATTAACAGGAAACAACATGGAGAATACACAGTAAATAACAGAGCTCCAAAAAAGCGATCTCCTCTTTCAAAGTGGGGTTGAACGTGTATCTTCCACTTATGCTTCTGAAAATTTTCTTTATTCTTTACAGAATATAGCAGCAGGAAAAGACTGCATGCATTAGCAGCCTAATTTTTTTACTTTGAGCACCCATGAGCTCCATTGCTTTCCAAGGAAGCTATGCAGTGCAGAGCTCTCTTGAAAAATCTAGACAATTATTCAAGGTCCCCAAATATAAGCTATTTTTGGGGAAATTTTAACTTCTAAGACTATGAGAAGCTTGTAATAATTTTGGTGTCTCCTCAGTTTCTGCATTTACGTATGCTCCTGTCCAGTTCATGAGGGAACAAGCATCTGTATGGTATTACAGGATAGCTATAGAGACTGAAAAAAGGAATGGACACAAGCTACTCCTTTTTAATCTTGGTCTGTTTCCATTTAATTTGCAATATGTACCTTCTACAGTTACCGCTTTGATTAAGCCTGAAAACTGTAGAGACAAATAGCATTACTTTTGAAACTCAATAAAAGCGTTTTGAATTTGGATTCTTAATCAAATTATAGTTCCAAATTGTACTACTTTCATAATGCTAATGTCCTTTTCTTAAGATCCTATGCTTTTGTAAGCTTCCTTAAAGAGCAGGAAAAAGAGGCTGACCTGCCTTTGTAGAAGATACATACAGCAGCAAACACAGCACCCACTTATTTGTAGCAGTGGGCCCTCTCTCTGCTACTAAGATAGTATCGCACTGTCTCCAGTGGAAAGACATTGCAGAGTTTTGTGTGAGAACCTAACAATATCTGGATATTCTTCTTCACTAGACGGGTTCGAAACATAGCGCTGCATAGCCAGGCGTTGACAGCGGTCCCGTTGGCATCTGCAAGCCTGGTGGATCAGCTGGAAGACAGAATCCTAAGCCATGAGAAAACAACGGCGGCTCTTGTGGAACACGCTTTTCGCATTAAGGAGGACATTGTTTCCACTCTGCACAGAATGCAGAACAAAGGGGGGGGTGACCGGTTGGCTAGGCAACTCTTGGAAGAACATATCCGAAACATAACGGCAATAGTGAGGCAGCTTAATCGGGACATTGAGGTATGTTAAGAACTTTTCACAGGACTAATGCCATCTCAGCTACTTATCCCTTCCAATTTAGTACGTAAGTTTACCACAGGATAAGTAAAGGTCAGGCAAGTCTGAAGATCCTGTAAGCTTACAAATTGTTTTTATAACTTGAAAAACTGTTTGCAAATTACATAATTCTTTCAGTGGCTATGAAAATAGCACGGGATATTAGCATATAAACACAGAAACCTTTGTGGTACTAACAAGCTTGCTTTCAAAAGCTGCACTGGAAAACCCTGAAAAAATGAATTAATGCGACACTAATACCCAGCTCAACTTCAGTCCAAAGGCTGTGCTGTATAAACCCTAGGAAATGCTTTAGCTCTGTAATAAACTTTCTTTCACTTCCGACTCACTGGCAACACCAAATAGCCAAACCCAACTGCTCATTTTTATGACCTAATGATACGCAGATACATGACTTCACGTCTGAATTCTGCTGCAATGAGCAACAGGGGTGTGGTGGGGAAAACGGAAGGACAAAAATTAATATTTAAGTCTCCATTCCCTTGTCAAGTTATACTTTATACATATTATGGTATTTACGTGCCGATTGGACACTAAGAGTAAGAAATAATAAATGACCTAAAGGTATCTGGTTTAGTATGATACAAGACAAACCTTTTAATAAAGCAATAATAAAATGGTATCTGATGTTACTGAAACACTGAAAAATAATGAGTGACATTTTAAGTCTACATTAAATGTGACATACTGAATTTATATTTGCATATGAATGCTTTGTAGATGCTGCAGGAACAGATACGTGTCAGAGACAATCTCAGCTACGGAACGAATTCTACCCTAAAGAGTCTGGAAATGCGGCAGCTTTCTGGCTTAGGAGATCTTCGGGGAAGAGTTGCAAGGTAAAAGTCAACATGGAAGTATGTTTTGGGGACTAGCTAATGTTGTTTTAATCTTGAAGTATGAATGTTAATGATAATGGGCTGAATTCAACTTTGGCAAAATTCCCAGGATAATTTTGCTCGGTGTTTTCAAGAAAATGAATAATAATCCTTTGCATTCCAGTATTACATATTAAACTTAACAATATCACCCTTAATTCCCGAAATTCCTGAAATTAGTTTTTGATAAATTACCCCAAATTCCTTAGGAATTTGGATTTTGTTCAGCTTTAAAAAGCACTATGGTTAGACTGGTCTATCTTTGAAACAAATTAATTAGCACAATTATAAAGGCAGCATGGAACAATCTGCACTTGTAAAGAACGGAATAGTTGCACATTCTTGCATATATTTTAGAAGTAAATCTGTGCATTCAGTTATTGGTTAGCCATATTAAAAACTGCGTAGGCTACCTGACACGTAAGGAACAAAAAACTATAAAATAATAGTGGTTTTACAGGCTACTTGAAACTCCAGGTTACAATCGCGCAACTACAGAGACTTCAGGTTGTGCCATCAATGACACATTTACAAAGCCCAGTACAACATTTGCTTAAGTGTCTGTACAGTTGAACACAAAAGACAGAGCATATGTACAGCTACAGAAAAAGGCCCTAATCTGGCCTAAAGCAGCTTGGCTAATAACTTTGGTGGAATTATACTTGTCCTGAATTTGACCTATTGCCTATATTGTACAGATAATTTTTCTTTTTCGTACTTACATCTGATTAGCGTTAACCTTCAACAGCCTACAAAAATAATCAGGGAGGGATTTTCCTTGAATTATAGTTTTCTCGTAAATTACTTGATCATTTGAAGTTTCCACTGTAACTTTCATAGCCCATTTTGTAAAGAATACTTTAGAGATGTTTTACATACTCATTGTTTTTTTTTGTTATGCACTATCCTTTAGTAAATAGGAATGAACTAGACAAGCTTATTTTGTCACATCAGAAAATTGATTGAAAAATACACGTACAGAGATACACACACACATATACATCTTTCTCACTGAGAAATCCCTGACAAATCTGCATGCTTAGATCTTCCTGCTTCTTTATACAGTCCACTTTGAGATCGTACTATATCCTGAGTGAGGTCCGTATTTGGAGCAACACAGTTACTGACACATTGTGAAGCAAAATGCAGTGCCTTTGCTTTCAATAACAGAACTCAAATGAATAAACACATGTCAGCATGAGCTTCACAACGGGGCCCCTTGCCTGTCCCAAGTACTTGGTATGGGGATCGGTGGTGGACTAGCACACTCTGTGCCAGGATTTCTTCCTTCATTTACTTAGGGCAACACCCTTGTACTGTGCCTGGGTTGCAATTTATGTGATAATTGTATGAGATTATACCAGTCTGCCTTATGTCAGACTCTACAATGCATGCTGGATATTTGTATTCATTATCATAAGAGAATCAGTTTATTCTCTTTTAACTGCTATCTTCTATTCAGCATTATGCTCTTTACGTAAAAATCTTCCCTGAATAAGGAAGAAAATAAGCTTCCCTTTACCAGAAATCAAGTTAAAGCAGTGTTCCATGGGAGAAAGCTATTTGCCTTTATTTACAGACGTATTCTACTTTGAAAATTAGCGTTCCTGTGAATAATGATTATAGTACTATCTGGAGATCATGGTCAAGATGGCAGTTTGTTATGCTGTTGGCACTATACAGATACTTACCAGAAACTCTCCCTGGGATAAACACTTTCTGACTACTCTAGCCAATGATGTTCCTTATATAAAATAAGCTGAACTCACCTAATATAATTTTACTTTTACATCTAGTCCTGCTAGCTTTCAGATGAGTTCAGAGAGTGAAACCTTAGAAACATGATCAAGTTACTGTGGGCTACCGACTTACTGTGCATCAGCTCTCAGCCACAGTCAAGGTGCTACTTATGGCTCAGGCTGTAGCGACAGTAGCCTAATTTAACTCCAAGGACATCATGTTTGCTCTAGGCTAGAAGTGTGCAGAGGGACGATCAGTGTGAATCAGTTTATATATGCCACATGATAGTAAATCACCTAAGTCTGAGCCTCTTGGTCCTATAATAGTTTTAGTGTCAATCTCAGGATTCTGGCCAAATTTCAGTTCCAGTAATAACGTGCATACTAAACATCCTATTTAACTTCAATATTGGAGAGAGTGGTGTTTATTTCCTAACACCAACTGTTCTGTAACATGTCAATATATCATTGAACAACTGTCTTGTTATTTCTTGAGGTTTCTGCTTTTAATGTTGAGAACAGGGATCCCTACACGCACATGCAGTTCTGAAGCACAGCTCCAAAACCATGCTACCCACAGCTCTGGAGGAGTGAGATTGAGACAGACCTCACAGTTGAGCTCACCTGCATCACAGAATCAACTAATATCCCTGACAGGAGAAGACTCAATACACACTACAGCTCATGTCTCTGGGCCATTTCTCATTAAGCATAATTCATTGATGATTTTGTAAATAATCATTACAGTGTTCACCATGAATGATACTGTACATTTTCCTAAGAATCAGCATTATTAATAACTGTAAGAAAAATATTACCTCTATTAAATTCAGTGACACATTCAGCAGAAAATTAGATAGAAGCTGATAGATCCATTAATTCAGTCTCCTGTCCCTGATGTTGGCAATTTTATATAACACAGATTTACCAATTCTATTTCTAGTGATATTAGATCATAAAACTCATGAATAGTGCCTTATCATTTATTTACAGAATAACTTGTGGACTATGATCGTTTATCTGGGAAGTTTAAATATGGCAGCCTGGTCAGAACCATAGCAGTAGCAGTCTCTAGAAGTTTCCTCATAGCTGAAACATCCAGAGAAATGGCAACTATGCATGTTCAAATTGGGCCTACTTTGCATATATAGATGATTTTTTATATACATTATAGATCTGATTCATTTCAGACACCCTGGACTCATTACATGTAGGCAGATTTTCCTACACTGCACAGAAAATGAGTCTGATGCATCTGGGATGCACTGCATTTATGAACTTCAGAAGTACAATAAATCTGCTACACTCTGGCTACTTGGTGCGTATGAGATGCACGCAATGAGGACTGATCTGGGCTCTCTGATCCAGGCTTTTCAGAATCTACCAGCTCTGCTGTTCTTGCCCAGTGGGTCCCCTGGACGTAGCAACTTGCTTTTCACTACTTGTTCTTCAGCTACCTGTCTTTCACCGAAACACTGGTATTTTAATTGAAACATCTCCTGTTATAATAAAACAGGAACATTAAAAATCTCTATGTACCATTATAGCATATTTATATAGCATCCTGTATTGGTGTAGTTCTCAGCTTTACCTAGTCCCTGGTGATACTGAATAGAGCAACCATTGTGTTTTGATTTCTTAGAGATCAAAGGCAACAAAAATACTCTTCAGTGTGCCAGAAAAATAACTACTGCTTTTGCTTACTATGACTTGGAAGGCAGTTGTTTGATAATTTCACGGCTTATATTAAACATTACTGGTTTCTAGAATTATACTGTATTCTGAAACTGAGAATAATACTTGGCACTATGAAATCTCTCCATTTATTCTTCATTTACTAATTTCACATAAATACACAGCTTGGCAATCTGAACTTTCATAAAATGTCCTCCAAAATCAAACAGTAGTAAAACAAACACATTCTAGTGCATCTTTGGCCCAAATTTCAACAGTGCATGTGTGCAACTGCACAGGAAAAACTGCACTGGGTTATTTGTATGGCCAGCTTCAGCATTTCAAACGTGAAGACAGAGAATTATTTATTGTGCATTTCTTTGTACAAAATGGTTTTATATACAGCTCTTATATTTTTAAGCTAGTAGTCTTCCTAGAAATCTTAATCTATTTCTCATTTCTTTCCTTGTGCTTTTAAGATGACCAAACCTCAAAAGTTGTTTTCAACTTCTGTCTTTATATCCATAGTCTACTGGCTTCGTTTATATAGACAGTCTGATTAAATTACCCAGGAACTTAAATCCAGTGTTCAGAAACATTTAGTTCTATTTTTAAGAAGAATTCAATTGTCATTTTAACATGAATCTATAAAGAAGTATCAAAGCAGAACTTGCAGAGGTATGGAAAATTTAGTGGGGAGTGTAGTGTGCCTTTTTTTTTTTTTTTTAAACAGGGAAAAATTCCAAACTGTAATGTGCCCTTTTGTTTAGATTGCTGATTTTCTTCCAATCCATCACGTGGTAGAAACCTGAATCAAGTGTTAGAAAGCCCATGGTTTTCCATATGTTCATCTTATTATTGCCTCTCCCCCCATTTGAAAGTTAGTGGAAGCATAGACTAAAATTATTTAATTGTTGTAAGTTTTTAATTCAAAACGTGTACTCACACAACTAATACCAGAATCTCATTCTTTGTCTGCAGCACACTAATGTTTTCTTCCAGGTCAAAACTAATCAGGTGTTTGTGAGTTTGTACAGTATATATAGCAAAGAGACTTCTCTTTGACTACTTCAATATATGGAATATTGTTCAAAAAAAAACCCCAAACATAACAGGATAAACATTCCGTAACTACAGACAGTGGAATTTAAACTTTATTCCAACTTTTTTAAAAAGGGTGCCAATTACATTATCCCTGCTGAAAAATGAAATAATTTGATTAATACATACCTGGTATGTATTACTGTAGATGAAATCCACCTGACCAAAGTATTTTTGAAATGTGGTAGAAAATGCACATATTCTATAGCACATTTATCCTGAAAATGTTACAGCATCAAAAAATGTTCCAATGTGAAGAAAGGAAACAATAATTATTATGTTCCAGGACTGCGTTTCATAGTCTTTTGTGAGACAAAACTGCCATTGCTTTGAATGACAGTTTTACCTAAATAAAAACTAATAACTGTAGAATTTGCCCCACATTGTTTACTACACATATTAATTGTACACTACTATTTCACAAATACAAATAAGAATGTAAAACTCAGAGGAACACAGCTACAATAATGAAAAAACGGTCCTCAATTATTTAGGCTTCTAATCATGTAGGCAAAATCATACACGCCTTAACAGATCTTTTGGAGTATGACAAAAATACAAGGTATTGAAATTCTGCATCTTTGCATTTCTAATGTGATTTCCCTGACTGATAACACCACAGTCTACACATATTATGTCAGTGCCAAGAAAACAGGAATGTATGTGTCAGACTATTTGACTTCTGGTCCCATTTGGGAGCAGTTTGCTGAATACTATGAGATATATCACCATTCTTACAGTCTCATAAGACATTGTTTTGCTAGACAGCCAGCAATTTCACAGAAATGCCCAGTCTGAAATGGATAATTTAAAAAGTCTGGACCTTATATTCTATTCAGCTGTTGCTCTGGTATGTCTTTATTTATTCAAACAGGTGTGATGCTGGGTTAGCCAGACTGTCTGCAGAGCATAAAATTACATATGAAAGACTTCAGAGCCTAAGTAAAGATCAACATACCTCGAAGCTGATCTTAGAATCTAAAATCAAAGAGGCAGAAATACAGGTATGGTATTTGGACCAAAAGTGATCCACGTATGGGTAAGAGTTATAGTCGAATTCACGCAGACTCCATTACTGTTAATTATTATCCTGGGACATCACAGATTTACAAATGGAGAGGTGTATCTGCTCACAGTCCTTATTAGATTGAATATTGGTACCTAGCTGCATTACTGTACTGGTCTAACTGAAAAAAGGTCCTTACTTTGCTGCCTTTAGCATGCTGTGTAGAAGGGGCTAGTATTTAAAGGCACCTGAAAGGACTCCAGGAATGAACAAGAGTCAGTGATTACTGGCCTGAATGGCTTCTTGAGGTTGGAATGTGAACATGACATGGATACTCTACAGAACTACCACAATGCAACCATTGGTGTCTCTCCTATGTTTTGGCCTTCCCAGGATGATTTTATATGTATTTGAACACAATTTTTGAAGGTCTGCAAAACAAAACTAGTTTTGGGTTCTGTGAATCCATTAATCTGTCTGTCAGGTTTCTCTTCCGTTGGGTATAACAATGGAAATGAGCACTAGATACAAGAGACTTATGACATTAAGGAAAAAAGATTCTTCATCTCTCCATCTCAAGGCCTTCCCATTTTCTTGGGCAACAAAAGTATTTTACATCTTCGTTTTGCAGTAGGTAAATGGTTAAAATCCACTTTACCTTTCACAGAAGGCTCAATATAGTCTATTAGCATGCCAGCATGCTAGGAACATATTGCCATGAATCTTGTAAAACAGAACAGTGTGTTTTGTAAAACTGGGATGATTGTTTTGGTGAGAAATATTTTCTGTTAATAATGACCTACCCCAGTTAAATCCAGCACTTTTACCACTGCAGTAGCCATTATACATGAAGGGTTGAAGAATACCACTCAGTATTGGTAGAGTGCTTTGCCATTCATTTACTCTGCTTCCGTGACAACACGGAGATGTACAGATCGTGTAAATTCAGCCGTCTCAAGGCGGGGAGCAGGCAGACGCTTTCAAGGCAAGACTGTTCAAATTACTTATGGCTGAAAAACTATGGTTTTCACAATGTTGATACTTTCATCTTGTGAGATATATTTTTCACGATAAAGTGAAATGTGCAAATTCAGTAATTTTTGACATGTCAGCAAAAATGGCCCTTCTTTAAGATCTCCTCTACTGCATGAAAACGTCCCAAATGAGACTGTGATGAAATGCTGTTGAAAAAGAGTAAATTCTGAATTTTGTTTCAGATTTCTCATCTTCTGAGCAGAGTAGAGCAATCAATAATGCAACAAGAAGCAAAGCTGAAAATTGCCTACAAAGAGAGCAACCAACAGCTCCACCTTCTGGATACGAAGTGAGTGCCTGGGAAACCTTACTGCTGCCATGCACCTTGGAAGACAGGGCCTCAATTTTCCAAGTTTGACTGTTGTAATCTTCCGGTCTACAAAAGCCTGAACCTGTTTCAATATGTATGTGTGCTCAACAGATATCACAAAAGCACAATGGTCTGTCAAGTGGGACTCACTTTCAACAGTTATTCTGCCCCTAATGTGGTTAGGCAATTTTGAAAAGCCCATTAAGTCCTAGTCAAATATTCAGGCAGAACTTGTAGTAAAGAACACAACTAAGGATTTCTGTAAGAGTGCCCTGGTACCTTTTTGCAAGAACTGTACAAAGCAACAAATGCTGGAGGTGGCTGTTGACAGCAGGGCAGAAAGTTCAACTCAAGCAACTAAGAAGCAAGGCACAGCATTCACAAACGGTTATTGCTTTAAAATTGGCTTCAAAAACAAATATATAACTCAAATACCTAATTTATTAATGATAAGCTATTCTGCTACTACTAGACATTATATAGGGATATATTCAATTCAGATATTAAGCTCATCTCCAGGCATTTCACTCAGTGCCAATCCTGGCTTAAGCCATCCGTATCCTTACTGCTTATTGCCATCCTCATGCAATCCCATTAATTACATCAGTAAAAATATTTGTAAGCCAGATGAAAGAATACATCCAGATTTCAAATATTCACTGGAAAAAGACTGTCTAAGAAAACAGTTTCACTAGCACAACTGGTTGGCATAAACTTGAGGTGGGTATAGGCAATGTAAGTGGGACTATGTGAACTGGCATTGCCACTAAAATAAATGGTTACCAAATCTTTGCTCAGGTTTAAGACCTATGGACACACAGATTATAATCTGAATGGATGACCATATTCTGTTTTCAATGCTGCAAAGAATTTGCATCTACTATGCCTCAAAATGTTGTGATGTGTTTTGTATAAATAACTGCTATTTTGTTGGGCTCTTTATTTTCTAAGACAGTGCTGACTTATGCAGTTTAGTAGCCTTAAAGTTCAAAGATTCACCTTAATATGGTATCAAGAATGTATTAAATTGTCATTAATTTTTTTTTTTTTTTTTTTTTTTTACGAACATGATCATAAAAAAGTCACTGCTGAATGACCAGAAGTTCTGCTCTTTTGTTATCTGCTAATTTCTATTATGCTCTTAGATTAAAAAATGCTATTGAGGAACTCAGCAGCCAGATTTTGTCTGCACGTAGCTGGTTGGAACAGGAACATGAAAGGATTGAAAAAGAGCTTGTGCAAAAAATTGACCAACTTTCATTGACTTTTAAGGAAAACACTGTAAGTTTCGTTAAAATGTCCTACTTCTCAGGAAGTATTCAAAAGCATTATTAATAATTAAGATGATGTAACTGAGGTATTATTTGAGTGAGATTTTCAGATTTCCTCAATATTTGTATAACTCTCTTCATTGATGTCAAGTATAACATCCCCACAGCCCGAGAGTCTTCAAATAAATTTGATCACTTCTAAATAGATCAGTATTTTAGCCTGCAGTAATCAAGTCAGTTTAAACCATTTTATAAAAATTATAATTCCTCACACCTTTGCATTTCACATAAGAGATGATTAATCAATATCTATTGCATATTTGGGAAAGACCACTGTAATTTCATATACAGAGTAAATCATTAAAATTCTTTTTCCTGGCTCCAGGAAATGAATGAAAGAGCTATAGAGATGAAGTTCAACCAAATGGCAGAGAAAATTGACAAAATAGAAGAAATACAGAAGATAACCATGGAAGCACATGAAGCAAAACAGACTGAAGAAAAGATAAATATTCGCATTGGCAAACTTCAAAATGAGATTAATGAAGATATAAAAGAAATGAAAGCTGAAGTTAATGCTGGTAGGACCATAGCTCTTTATTCTGAATTGTGGTAACAATGATCGACCTATAATAATATGCAAAATGCCTTTGCTTGTATTGAAGTACTTCAAAGACTTTTGGGCCAGATATAATGGCTAGACCTGTGGCATTAACAACAATTTTCACTAAGTGTGAAATTCACAGCAACAAGAGGTGACATCTTACTAGCTTAGAAGTGGTCTCCCCAGAGCATACATAGGTATGGCCTGGCTGTGACCACAGGCATTTTTGCCATCAGCACACAATTACAGTCCTATTTTTCTTCAGAACTTTTGCTGTCTTCCTAGCGTAAGGCAGAGCGTTATGGTAGGAAGCGCATTCTGATAGTAAGTATGCGATACTCTTGCTTTTGATTATGAACTAATTTAATTCTCACCTGCAATTAGGATTTGCAGCTATCTATGAGAGCATTGGGTCTCTACGGCAAGTTCTAGAAGCAAAAATGAAGCTGGACAGAGATGAACTACAGAAGCAGATCCACCAAATGAAGCAGGAGGTTCCAACATGGGGAGAGGCTGGACCATGACTGCAAGATTTTGTCTGAGAGATTAATGTTTACCTGGCTAAACAGGCAGACTATAATCTTGTTCTAGTCTGTAATCCAAATTCAATGCATGTACCAAATGACATGCTGCCGTTGCACAGGTCCGTATGTTTACTTGAAGCGGTAAATGCAAGCTCTTCATATATCAACTGACAACAAGCTTTTACGAGATGAGGTGCTGATTTGCCACTGCACTACTCTAGTTGCTCTCAGGAGATTAACCATTGTGGAAGACTGGAGTAATATATTGGTGAAGCTGGCACCTAATTTGCTAAAGGCATTTCAGTGCTCCCCAGTTTCATAGGCTTGATCAGGCAGGTATAAGCTTATATATATAAAAGCACCTGCACACACACCCCTTTTTTTAAAAAAAAAAAAAAGTTGATATCATTTGTTTAATATCATTTTGGCAAGGTTCTTCACCTTGATACAAATTACTTAATCAAAGTCAACAGACATTTTTACAGTGACTTTGTCTATTATTGACTTCCTGGGGAGACAGAATTGGCACTAAACAGACCAATTTTCAAAATCTAGATACCATCAGAAAATCTTCGTTTAGTTTTGCAAATATCCTCTGTGCGTGTGTGTGTAAACTAAGTTGTGCTATATAATGTAGTTGTAGACTAAGATGATTAATGAACAACGTAAGAAACTTGACTCACGTGGTCTTAAGTATTGTGACCTTTTTAAATTAATAACCATGTGGAGCTGAGACAAGGTAAAAGATGTATATAGAGTATTTTATAACTGGTCATGTGTTCCTGTGACTTGTTTCATTATATTGGTAAAAACTTTGAAAGGTTTGAAAACGAAAGAGAAGGTGATCATCTAACATAGTCTGGAGAACTTAATGTAAAATAAAATGCAGTTTATGATCTGCTTAGAAATGTTTATTGAAGTAAAACAACTGACTCTTCAAATTTAAGTAGACTTTAATAATTTAGTAGATTCAAATTGCTAATTGCATTCACAGTATTTCCAAATAATAATAGTGCTTATTTCCATTCCTGGAACAGATTACATATGGAAAGTCAGCACCCATATGACATATTAACCTAGACAGTAGAATATATATATGTTGATTTTATATCTTCATTCATAGCTTGATATTGCTCCTCATGTTTGTAAGTCATGCAGGATTGAGCACTCATGAAGAATAAAAGACTTCATCTAGTAGCCTATTAATTTATGCTATTAACAGTAATTAATATACAAAAATACTATTAATTTACACAAGCATTACTGTTAATGTAAATAAATTAATAGGATGTCTCTGCACTGTCTTTAATGGACCTTTCTTTCGGCCAGTATTGCAAAACCATATTCCTATTTGGAAACTGTCTAGTTGATAGTGTTGAAAGGTGCACTAGAACTTGACAGTCATAAAATATCATATAAGAAAAAATACTAAGACAAAATTAAAGCATAAAGTTAGCAACTATCAAAAAAAAAAAAAAAAAAAAAAAAAAGCTCCAAAACCAAACTCATTAACTTCAGTAGGACAGTGTAGTGTGTAAAAATGAAGAAAACGCATACATCTTTACAGGACTATCACCTAAGTTTATATTCATTTCCTATATAGATGAAAGTAATTTAAGGTATCAAAGATACATAAAGTTTTTGCAACTCTGGCTTCCAATGCTCTCTGATAACAAAACTGCCTCCGTTATTCCTGTTTTTTATCATCCATGTGCTGTGAAATATATTTACAATGGCAGCTAAGGGGAAAGCCCAGTTCACTAAAAGGGGACAATGAAATGCTTGCAGATAATTCTTAAGAATTGTCTTTAAAATTCATTCTTTCTTCATGTCTGTATTCTTATCTATTCTTAAGTATTTAGCCATGTGCAGTGGAAAAGCTATCACTGGTGTTTTACTAAAAAAAGAAAAGAACAAAGAAAGAAGCAAAAAGAGACGGAACAAAAACCCAACAATTTTTTTCTTCTGTAATTGGAAATTTGTACTTGAGAGAATCTGGTATGCTATGAAGAGTATACAAGGAATCAGAGAAACAATTTATATAGTACTTTAATAAAATGTTTCTCTTGTAAAAATCTCGTGTGATTCATCCAGGTATAAAACAACACATAAAACCCTATCCAATTTTACTTTTGTTGTTTTGAAAATATTTTTTCCTAAATCTCAGCTAAAGCAAATAACTAAAAGCCCAAATAAAACACTATTGAAATGTGAGCTACTGTCAAGCAGTGCCTTCAAACTATATAAAGTGCTATGTGGAGGGAGGCACAGGTTACAAGGACTCGTATGCTGGGAAGAGACAGACAGAAATGGTGAGCTAGGCCTAGATGTACACATGGACACACACAAGTGTAGCCTGTCCATTGTCCATCCTTTTCGCAGAGTGCTCTAACTAGTCAGTTATGAAAGTAAGTCACATACTCCAGCCCAAGAGGGCTCTGCAAAAAAAAAAAAAGAGGAAAAGCCAGAATAGCAAAAAGTAATATGAAGAAAGATTGAAAAATCTGGAGAAGTAACAGAGAAAAAGAGTACGTCAGAAGAGTGGAGCGATGGAACGGTAGCTGCATGGGCAAAGGCAAGGAAGAGGAGCTATCTGATGATGAAGCACAGAACAGGTTTGAAGATTTTGGAGAGAGCTGAAAATGACAAACAATAATATATTTGATACAAAACACAGAATGCACAAGGATGGGCACGTTAATTGATTTGTCACAGCTCATGTTCCCTACTTGCCTGCTGCACTTTACTCTGCTCAAACAGCTGGAAAAATAATTTTTTTTGTTTTGTCTTCCCTTCAGTTAATTTTTTTTTTTTTAAAGTTTTCTGTACAAGATAGGTCAACAATGTCTTGCCTGCATAGTCTACCAGGGAGTGCTCATATCCGATAAGTAACAGCTGAGTTCTTCAAGGGAGAATTAGAGTCCCTATGTCTTTCAATCCTCTTAAAGTTGTATGGCAAAATCCTCTCCTCTGAAACAGCATGCCCCCAGGGGAATTACTGTGTAGCCAGGAGGACAGTATTACAGACACTATGGTCGATAAAAGCTTGATTTTGCAAAGCAGAAACTGATTCTGAAAACTGACCTGCAGAGATCCTGTAAAACCAAATAGAAGGAAATAGCTGTGCCTGAAAGTGGAGCTGCCCTTTTATTTTTTCTTCCCATCCTGGTCTC